AAAGAAAAGGAAATGCAAGAAAGCAAAGTGGCTGTCCAACGAGGCCTTACAAATAGCAGAGAAGAGAAGGGAAACAAAATGCAAGGGAGACAGGGAAAGTTACAGAACACTGAATGCTGACTTCCAAAGAATAGCAAGGAAAGACAGGAGGGCCTTCTTAAATGAACAGTGCAAAGATACAGAGGAAAACAATAGAAAGGGAAAACCAGAGATCTGTTTAGGAAAATTGGAGATATTAAAGGAACTTTTTGTGCAAAGATGGACATGATAAATGACAAAAAAGGTAGGGACCTCACAGAAGCAGAAGACATCAAAAACAGGTGGCAAGAATACACAGAGGAATTATACTAGAAAGATCTGGATGTCCCGGACAACCCAGATAGTGTGGTTGCTGACCTTGAGTCAGACATCCTGGAGAGTGAAGTCAATTGGCCTTAGAAAGCTTGTCTAACAACAAGGCCAGTGGAGGTGATGGCATTCCAGTTGAACTATTTAAAATTTTAAAAGATGATGCTGTTAAGGTGCTACACTCAATATGCCAGCGAGTTTGGAAAACTCAGCAGTGGCCAGAGGATTGGAAAAGATCAGTCTACATACCAGTCCCAAAGAAGGGCAACACCAAAGAATGCTTCAACTACCATACAATTGCACTCATTTCACACACTAGCAAGGTTATGCTCAAAATCCTACAAGTTAGGCTTCAGCAGTATGTGGACCAAGAACTCCCAGAAGTACAACTGTATGGCGAAAGTCAGAGAGTTCCAAAAAGAAATCTACTTCTGCTTTATTGACTACGCAAAAGCCTTTGACTGTGTGGACCACAGCAAACTGTGGCAAGTTCTTAAAGAAACAGGAGTGCCTGACCACTTTATCTATCTCTTGAGAAATCTATATGTGGGACAGGAAGCAACAGTTAGAACTCAATATGGAACAACTGATTGGTTCAAAATTGGGAAAGGAGTACGACAAGGCTGTATATTGTCCCCCAGCTTATTTAACTTATATGCAGAATACATCATGCAAAAGGCTGGACAGCATGAATCCCAAGCCAGAATTAAGATTGCCAAAAGAAATATCAACCGTCTCAGATGCAAAATGATAGCACTCTGATGGCAGAAAGTGAGGAGGAATTAAATAACCCCTTAATGAAGGTGAAAGAGGAGAGTGCCAAAAATGGTCTGAAGCTCAACATAAAAAACCCCTAAGATCATGGCCACTGGCCCCATCACCTCCTGGCAAATAGAAGGGGAAGATATGGAGGCTTTCACAGATTTTACCTTCTTGGGCTCCATGATCACTGCAGATGGTGACAGCAGCTATGAAATTAAAAGACTTTCTTCTTAGGAAGAAAGTGATGACAAACCTAAGCAGCACCTTAAAAAGCAGAGAGATCACCTTGCCAACAAGATGGTTGGACAGTGTCATCG